ATTTTTTTTTTTTTTTTTTTTTTGAGAGGTTTTTGCTATAGGGCACCTGCACTTGATAGAAAGACAGAGACAAAAAGTGAGAAACCACCCCCCAGGGGGGATTGCCATGCCACAATCCATTCTCCTCTCGGGATCTTAGGCATGCACACACATGCACCTGGCGTGAGTTTAAGCCACTGGATCCAGAACTTGAACTGCAGTTGACTACATGAGAGTCCAGTGACATAGCCATTACGCCAACTGCTGGTCCCATTGATTCTTTTTTCCTCTTCTAGATCTTGCAAAAATTTCCTCACCTCCTGGAACTCGTCAGCTCCTTTCTTCCATCTCTTCTGCAGGTCATTGTCTCTCTTTTCTTCCATCTCTGTTAGCTTTGTCACTATGAATATTCTAAATTCTTTAGCAGACATTTCTGAGTTTCATTGAACTGTCTGAGGATGAGGAGGAATTATTTTTTTTTCCCTTGGAGGAGAGGTATTTTCTTGCTTTCTCATATTTCTTATGATACTGAGGTGATTTCTAGTCATCTGATGGATGGTGCGTTTCTTCCTAATTCTTTTTTTTTTTTTTTTTTGGAGAGGTTTTTGCTATAGGGTGCGTGTGCTCGCCAGACAGAGACATAGAGACAGAAAGCAAGAAATCACCCCCCAGGGGGGATGGCCACGCTGCAATCCCTTCTCCTCCATTCTCCTCTTGGGATCTTGGGCTCGCATGCACACGCGCCCGGCGTGAGCTTTAAGCCACTGGGTCTGGGACGCAAACCACGGTCGACTACGTGGGAGTCCAGCTACATAGCCATTATGCTAACTGCTGGTTCCCTTTCTTCCTAATTCTTGAAGTTCAATAAGAGTGTTCAGAGGTGTGTAGAAGGAGGTGATCTGTAATCTCTCATCTGCTCCGTTTTCACTTTTTTTTTTGGAGAGGTTTTTGCTATAGGGTGCGTGCACTTGCCAGAAAGACAGAGAGAGAAGGAGAGACAGAAAGCGAGAAATCACCTCCCAGCGGGGATGGCCATGCTGCAATCCCTTCTCCTCCATTTTCCTCTCTAGATCTTGGGCATGCACACACATGTGCCCGGCGTGAGTTTAAGCCACCAGGTCCAGGACTCGAAGTGCGGTCAGCTACATGGGAGTCCAGCAACATAGCCATTACACCAACTGTTGGTCCCCCATTTTCACTCTTTGTCTATCAGATTCAGTGGCAATAGACGAGTATTCTGACCCTTATCATATTTGGATGCTTGGATCCTGTTCACATGGACCTGTCTAGACACTTAGTGTGTAGAGGCCACTAGAAATGATTCTGATGGGCGAAGTCTCAACAGAAAATCTTCATTTTTTGGTTAAGAAAAACAGTATTTCACAGCTCAGGTTCAGTTTCCATCTCAGGATCCTATTTATATGTACACTTTAGTGTTAGGTTCATTCATATTGCTATCATCACTACCCATCTCCAGAATGCTTTTCATTGTGTAAAACAAATTCTAGGGCCAGCAGATGGTATGGTGGTTAAGACACTAGACTCCCACATGGCTGATTACAGTTCAAGTCCTGGACCTTGCAGCTTGCCTTCTCACTTTTCCTCTTTCTCTCTCTCTGTCTTTTGCTGGTCAAATTTTTAAAAGTAAATAACAATAAATAAAAATAAATAATTCTTCAAAAAAAAAGGCAAAACTGAAATTCTATGTCC